TCAAAAAGTAGATTAGTAAATTTCATTTCTAAAATTTGAGGTATTTAGTAATTTTTTTAATTACCATAGCGTCTATAAACATTTGTTATAAACTCAGGGGAGGAAATAAAATTTAATAACATTTCTTTGTCAACACCAGATTTTTCTGCTAAAGTAAGTCCTTCGGATAATAATTCACCAGCACCAAAAACGAATAAGTTTCCAATTAGCTTAAATTTAGCTGCATTCTTTACATCGTCACCTGTAAAATATTTAAAATGTTATATTGAATTAGAATCAGAAAGCGAGTCTTTAATGGTAAAGTATACATAGTTGTATCATGGAATTTCTAACCCGCAGGTAAAACCTTCTTTCCTAACACAGTTGTTAATAATGGTAGCATGTAATTAATTGCATCTTGGTTGCCAGAAGGAATAATTGACAGCATTGCATTCTAGGAAGATTTTAAATATATAAAGAATTTAAGATATAGACAAATTCTAAAATAACATTTTGTTTTTATATTTTATGTACCTTTGCAACTTCAGGAGGACCCAAAACAGGACAATATAATAAAATCCTATTTGTTGTGTTCTCAACCTTTTCTCTGAGTGTGCCAACTGTGGTTGGTTCAATCGTGCTTGTTTCAACAAATATAATTTTTTTCTTATTGTTATCAATAAGATCTGATTCACTCAATAATTCATTAAAAGTTTGATTAACAGCATTATCGTTAGCAAGTGAAGTAAAAATTATATTAGCATATTCAATGACTTGTTTCAAACTCGTAGCAGCGATAGCACCAATTTCTTTTACTGCATGTGTTTTAGAAAATGTACGGTTGTAAACGACCAATGGGGCAAAAGAGTTAGATGAAAGATATTTTTGAAGGTTTATTGCCATTGGGAGTCTATTTTTAATAAATTTGATTAAATATCAATAACTTGCATCATAAAATAATTTCGAAATACTAACCCCATGGCGCCTAATCCAATAAAAGCATATCGATCAGAATTTGAAGCCATATTCTGTTCTAGAGTTTGAATCTAGATACTAAAATTTTCAATAAATGAAGTTTTCAAAAAATCATTGGATAGATCGTAAATTTATCTGTATCGCACTAGATTTGATTTAACCATTTTAAAATTTTTTGTACGCTGTAAACGGCAAATCTATTTTTAATAAATTTGATTAAATATCAATAACTTGCATCATAAAATAATTTCGAAATACTAACCCCATGGCGCC